ACACACACACACACACACGAGATCCAATTTGTGTTGCCTATATTTTCATTTTAGGCATGGTCAAACTCCCAGTAGCCAGCTCCTTAAAGATAACTGAGGCCTTCTCCTCACCCATGCCAGAAGCCATCAACTGTGAAGAGCTACACTTAAGCAAACCTGTCATAATTTTTAAGGACTCTGCAATGGCTTCCTGTTAGACTGTTTCTTTTGTGGGAAGGAGGGAGGTTGTCACAGAAGCCTTCAATGTCTCTCATTCTCAACTATGAGTCAGCAGTCATCAATACCACTGCAAAAGAAGGTCCCTTACCCATAATCCCTTAACAGCCAGGGTCAGCACAGAACCCAGACCTCAACATGGTCCCCAGTGGCAGCATGGTTGGATTACAGACACCAAAGGACATCCACATGGTCTCTGGCATTAATGAGGACCACGGACACCAACATGGCCTCTGGAGGCAGTGTGGACAATGGAAGTCTTTGGAGGAGGCCCAATCTAGAAAATGAATCGTTCTCCATCTTGGATATCTTGCTGTTGTTGCTCAGAGTAGAGCAATTGTGCAGCTGCAAGGCATGTTCAGGGACAGAGCCTCAGCAAGTTCCAGGCTGCTGCACACCACCCTGCTTGCCCTGCTCAGCAATGACATTCTCCCTCCATCCACCACAGCCATGCTTTTACATCTGTTGTCACCACTGCCTCGTCTCTGGTTTTGCCTTTTTCTAACATAAGCATGCCACTCTGTTCTGCCATCCTCCCCATCTCTCCATCTCACATTTATTCATTGAAGTGGCATTGCGAACTGCAGTGTGTTACACAGTATATATATATATATATATTGCCCAAACATGCAAATTCTTTTTGCAGTGAGTCATTGGTCTATTTCAAGGTTTCCGGTTTCTGAAGCACCACAAATACTGGTTTATCACCGAGACTCGTCTCAGATATCTGAGCAACAGCTCAGACTCAGGATGATTTTGTGGCTGGGCAGGGCATCTGGGGGCAGGATCTGAGAAAGCAGCATGCTTGCACACCCTCAATGCAGGCTGCCCTAAGGCTCACCAGGTATGACTGTCAGGCAGCCCACAGGCAGTACCCACAGCCCCCTGCTTTCCTTCCCAGAGCAGGGCAAGCAGTTCATGGCTCCATGCTGCAGGCTAGGCCATGCTGTGCAGGCTGGGCCCACTGTCCCTAGCCTGCTGGATCTGCCCTACCTGATGTCATGTTTTTTTGCCCATCACCGCCATGCCTCTAGCTTTGTTACTCTCTGCCACACGAGGCTCTGCTCTGCTGTGCCATCTTTCTTTCCAATATCATGAGTCCACTTTTTCAAAGCATCTTCCCATAAGACCTGCCTTTTTTAAAGTTGTTCTGGAGATAGTACCAGCTCTGGCGGCTCCTCCTCCACCCTGTCTCCCCTTGGAGCCTCTGTGGGTCTCTCAGGTCCCTCAGAGTTGCTCCATAGTCCCTGGGGGTGCTAGCTGCTACTTCCAACTTGAATCTGTGAGTTTGAGACCAGCCTGATCTCCAGATAGTGAGTTCCAGGCCAGCCAGACATACCTAGTGTTACCTGTCCAAAGTGAAGAAAGTGGCCATGGAACTGCACGAAATTGTCTGAAGAAGAGAAAAATACAAATAGCCAAGAAATATTGTTTTATTTTAACTTTTTATTGATTCTTTGTGGGTTTCACTTCATGTACCCCAATCCCACTCTCTCCCCATCCCTTCATATCTGCCCTCTGCCCTTGCATCCTTCCCCTAAAGAATAAAATAAACTCTCGTGAAATCTGTAGTGTGTCACAGTGAGTCACACAGTATACCTGTTAGTCCATATATCTTTACTTGCAAGTATTCCTTACAATGAGTCATTGGTCTGGTTTGAGGCCCCTGGCATCTGCTATACTATCAATAATGGATCTTCACGGGATCCTCCTGGATATCCTGTTGCTGCCCTGTGTCGTGAAGATCCTGCAGCTTTGGGTCTACAGGACTGGTCAAGTGTCCCAGCAGTGAAGCAGGCTTTCTTGGACTGCCAGCCCTCAAATCATGACATGGGGACTTATTATTAATTATGAATGCTCAGCCTTAGCTTAGGCTTGTTTCTAGCTAGTCTTTCTAACTTAA